ACATGGTTAACTTAAAAATATTATCTCTGGAAAAAGCATGTATTTTAAAAGTACTGGACAAATGATGCAAAATATATACTAATCATAGATTGAATACTTATTTTGAAGAGGGCCTGGGTTCATGTACCAACCATATTACTCATGCTTTCTTCCTTCATGATACTTCCAGTGAGGTATGTCCAGCTGGTTTAGTTTTTTTAAATGACGCTGTCAGTATAACCTGAGGCTAACATTTATAAAATGGAGTATATGAGTTTCAGAAGCATAGGCTATAGGATGTGAAGACTGACAGCTAATTGCTAGGTAGTTTGATACTATATCACTGAGCTCAGAGAATTAATTCTTAGTTGCAGAATTCTAGATTCAAATGAATTCTTAGGAGACCTCTCAAAAATATAAGCTGCAGAGTGGCCCTAGATGAATAAGGAAATCAGGGACCTCTTTCCCTGCCACCATCTTCTGAATTTCTAGGTATTTCAATCATTACCAGTAAACTGCTATGTTGTTCCATTTAAAAGCTACAAATCTCCACAGCCAAAACATATTTGAACCTCTGTTATGACTTCCCTATTTACAGATGTTGGAGCTGCTTACATTCTCCTCCTCTCCTCGGTGATGCAAATATTAAAAGTAGGCCCTGAAACTTGTTTTTTGTTTCATAAGTTTTTGGGGGAGCAGGTGGTGTTTAGTTACATGAATAAGTTCTTTAGTGGTGATTTCTGAGATTTTGGTGCACCCATCACCTGAGCAGTGTCCATTGTACCCAATGTGTAGTCTTTTATCCCTCACCACCCCCTTGCCTTTTCCCTTCATCCCCAATGTCTGTCATATAATTCTTATGCCTTTGCATTCTGAGTTACTTCATTTAGACTAACGCTCTCCAGTTCCATCTAGGTTGTTGAAAATGCCATTATTTTATTCCTCTTTATGGCTGAGTAGTATTCCATGGTGTGTGTGTGTGTGTGTGTGTGTGTGTGTGTGTGTGTGTGTGTGTTTGGACATGAATAGACAATTTTCTATTTGTATATATATATTTTCTATTTATATATATATTTGGAGCCAGTCATCCTTTTGGACATTTAATTAATTGTACATTCTGTATGTAAAAAAAAAATAGTATTGAGACTTCTTTAAAGGCAGGGACTTTTTTTTTTAAATAAAACTTTTATCCACAGTGTCTAAGATAGGACTCCATGTCAATAATAATCAATAGAAAAATAGAAAATATATGTATTTTCTATTTCATTTCTAAAGAAAATGTTATATGTGTATATATATATATATATATATATATATATGTATATATATAAAACTCATTGATTGATGGGCATTTGGGCTGGTTCCATGTTTTTGCAATTATGAATTGTGCTGCTATAACCATGCGTGTGCACGTATCTTTTTTGTATAATGACTTCTTTTCCTCTGGATAGATAACGAGGAGTAGGATTGCTAGATCAAATGGTAGATCTATTTTTAGTTCTTTAAGGAATCTCTACACTGTTTCTCATAGTAGTTGTAGTAGTTTACATTCCAACCAACAGTGTAAAAGTGTTCCCTTTTTACCACATACACACCAACATCTATTATTTTTTTATTTTTCAATTATGGTCATTCCTGCAGGTGTAAAGTGGTATCGCATTGTGGTTTTGATTTGCATTTCCCTAATAATTAGCAATGTTGAGCATTTTTTTCATAAGTTTGTTGGTCATTTGTATATCTTGTTTTGAAAGTTGTCTATTCATGTCCTTAGCTCACTTTTTGATGGGAGTGTTTGTTTTTTCTTGCTACTTTGTTTGAGTTCCTTGTAGATTCCGGATATTAGTCTGATGTTGTATGTATAGATTGCAAAGGTTTTCTTTCACTCTGTGAGTTGTCTGTTTACTTTGTTGCTTATTTCTTTTACTTCATAGAAGCTTTTTAGTTTAATTAAGTCCTATCTATTTATCTTTGTTTTTGTTGTTTTTGCTTTTGGGTTCTTGGTCATGAAGGCTTTAATTAAGCCAATGTCTAAAAGATTTTTCCAATGTTATCCTCTAGAATTTTTATGGTTTCAGGCCTAGATTTAAATCTTTAATCCATCTTGATTTGATTTTTGTATAAGGTGATAGATAAGGGTCCAGTTTTATTCTTCTACATGTGGCTAGCCAATTATTCCCAGCACTATTTGTTGAATAGGGTGTCCTTTCCCCATTTTATGTTTTTGTTTGCTTTGTCAAAAATCAGTTGGCTGTAAGTATTTGGCTTTATTTCTGGATTCTCTATTGGTCTATATGTCTGTTTTTATACCAATACCATGCTGTTTTGGTGACTATGGTCTTATACTGCAGTTTGAAGTCAGGTAATGTAATGCCTCACAATTTGTTCTTTCTGCTTAGTCTTGCTTTGGCTATGTGGACTCTTTTTTGGTTTCATATGAATTTTAGGATTGTTTTTTCTAGTTCTGTAAAAAATGATGTTGGTGTTTTGATGGGAATTGCATTGAATTTGTAGATTGCTTTTGGCAGTATGGTCATTTTCACAATATTAATTCCACCCATCCATGCACTTAGGATGTGTTTCTATTTGTTTTTGATGTCTATGATTTTTTCAGCACTGTTTTATAGTTTTCCTTGTAGAGGTCTTTCACCTTCTTGGTTAAGTATATTCCTAAGTATTTTAATTTTTTTATAGCTATTGTAAAAGGGGTTGAATTGATTTGGTTCTCAGCTTGGTCACTGTTGATATGTATAGTAGGACTACTGATTTGTGTAGATTAATTCTGTGTCCTGAAACTTTTAGACCCTGAAACTTTTTAAGGCTACAAATCTTTGTGACTCAGAAAAGAAGCACAAATGGGTGACAATAGTCAATAATAACTTAATTGTACATTTTTAAATAACTTACAAAGTGTAATGGATTGTTTGTAACACAAAGGATAAATGCTTGAGGGGATGCATACCTCTTTCTCCATGATGTTAATATATAACATTATATGCCTATATCGAAACATCTCCTGTACCACACACACACACACTATGTAACCACAAAAATTAAAAAAGAAATAAACAAAATAACAAATGTATTTAAAAGTTAAAAGAAAAGAAATGAGATATATTGAAAATTAACTTATGGGGCATAAGAATAAAAATTTAGAGGTCTATTTACATAGGGAAGTTGGTGAAATGTATCTTCTGTGCTTGCAGGTCTCCTGTTCTCAGTTCTCTCATTTTCCACTACTCTGCGACCCCCTCACTTGTTTTATAACTTGAATACTCTTTGACCCGCTCTTTAAAATGTTCTTGTTCAGTGTCTCACTCTTTTCAGGATTGAGGTGTCAACGAGATAACCTGTCCTTTGATAGTAGCACACAAGGCTGAACTATGCCTCTGGAGTTAGTAGATGTTGTTTCTACTCGGCCTGGTTTTGAATGGTAAAATTTGCTTTCAAATAAATAAACCAATAACTTGAAATGTCATCTTTCCCCTTGATTATAAAAGCAGTTTACTTCTTTTGTAGAAAATTTGGAAAATTCAGAGAAGTCTGAAAAATGTTAGAATTATCACTGAAGAGTTACCGTTTGTTAACAGCTTCATCTACTTCCTTCTTAACATTTTTCCTCTGAATTTTATAAGTATTTATAAAATTTAAATCATCTGTGTATAGTTTTCTGTTCTATACTTTCAATTAATATTATGTCTTCAACTTCCTTCAATGTCAAATATTCTTGATAAATCCAATCCTATGAACTGTATTTTTTCTAACTCTGTAACACTTAAATAATTTAATGATGCCTTATATTGGAAATGTAGGTTTTTAAAATTAGAATTTCAAATTATATATTGATAGACATTATTATACATATACCTTTATTTGTATCCCTATTATTTTTTTCTTCTATAAATTTTATTTTTGTGAAAATAATATATGTGCATAGTGAAAGATTTCATCCCAGAATATACAGTAAAAATAGCCTCTGTTTTCCTTTATTCTCTACTCTAGCAGAAGTCTGGCTCTCCAGTGGCAATTACTTCAACTAATTTAGCTGTTTCTTCTGGTTTTTATCTTACACGTCAAAATATACCATTATCTCTTTAGTTTTCAAAGTTAGGCCTTATTCGTTCACTTCCTGTTATGGAAACTGAGAAATTATCTTAGTTATACCACACTTCCTGCCCCTAACATACACACACACACACACACACACACACGCACTTCCTTTCACTGCTCTTAACAGTTATGTCACCATTTTTTGGTTAAATCAATATGTCTTTTTTTTTTATATATTATTGTCACTATGTAAATATTGTTTAGAGCTGATTTTAATAGGTTATGATGATTTTATGTCTCTACTTGTATATTTTTTAATATACAAGTATATTAGAATTTTTTTTTTCAATTATACTATTTATTGATGGAATTATACTGGAAAACGATCACTGAAAAAAAAATAGCCTTTTGAATAGAATAGTCTACTAAATGAACCATTTCTTTGAAACACAAATTGAAAAAGATTGTCAAATGTATCAGTATAGAAACCTGTGGGTTTATATATAGACGTCCCAGCAGTACTTTTCACAAGTTACACTCCATATCACATCAAGCAACTATTGGATGTATTTTTTTTTTTTTTTTTGAGATGGAGTTTCGCTCTTGTTACCCAGGCTGGAGTGCAATGGCACAATCTCGGCTCACCGCAACCTCTGCCTCCTGGGTTCAGGCAATTCTCCTGCCTCAGCCTCCTGAGTAGCAGGGATTACAGGCACGTGCCACCATGCCCAGCTAATGTTTTGTATTTTTAGTAGAAACGGGCTTTCACCATGTTGACCAGGATGGTCTCGATCTTTTGACTTCATGATCCACCCGCCTCGGCCTCCCAAAGTGCTGGGATTACAGGCTTGAGCCACCGCGCCCGGCCTTGATGTGTTTTTTCTATAATACCTGTGTCTTGCATTAATTAACCATATCTTAGTTGGGCTTCTTAGAATAGATCTGTTCACATTGAGATGTATGAAAGAAAAGAGTTATTTTTGGTCAGTGGGTGAGCACTTATCCTTAGCAATAAAGGAAGGCGACAAACAGTTTAGCTTCTGAATATAGAATGGTCTATTCAACACTACATTTTGTCGGTAACGTTTCTTTTTGGTTCCAAAGTTTCTCTTCAGTGCCTTAATTTCCTTCTGATTTTCGGGAAAAGACAGAAGTATAGGTGAAACTGGCATTGGAGACCTCGATGGCAGACATCTTGTGGAGACCATTTTAACCAGTGATTGAGTTGTCTGGCCAGCAGTAGGCTTGGATGAGAGTTCTTGGCATGGATTTAAAATAGAACTTTTGGGATTCTTTTCATCATAAGTTGCAATCAATTGTTTTGTGGTGGAAGAACTTTTTAGAGATGACGGTCTAGAATTCCATCTGTTTGCCAGCATTGCTCCAATTCCATTTTAAAGAATTTCGCTCAAGTTTGCAAGAACCAGAATTGTTTTTTCTTTTTTCTTGACTTTTATCTACACAAGGTATCTGAAGACTCAAAGAGTCACAAGGTTTTGGCTGTCTCACTTTTAGTGTAATTTTGGAGGAAAAGGGTCGTTCAGTAACTGCTGGAATACAGAGAGTAGTTTGTAGTCTGGGCCTCTCTTTTCGAATAGTCGTATGTTGTAATCTTTCCAGTTCCAGTAAATGAGTTATCAAGTGTTCAAGAGAACTTTCTGCAGATTCCACTGTTGCTTTCCAATTTTCAGATTTTGAGAGGGCTAAATTGTGCGAGTCTAGAGTACTGAAAGGAGGAAAGAGAAAATCAGGATATGGAAATACTAATATAAAAGTTCTATTTTTTTCAACTTTATTCACTTTATTTATATGTTTAACAATTCTAAAGTAGTTACTTTTTGCTTTGACAAAAAAATTAAAAATATAGGAGCATTGACTGACTCCTCTTTAGGAGAAAAGGGTTATATGTTCAGCTACAGAGAGTTATAGTTCCTCCTTTAACAAAGGAAAATATTAATAAAAAAGTACTTCATTGATCAAAAAAGGACTAAGAGCTGCAAGCATTTATTCACACTGTACATCAGACCCAAGAAACCCATATCATAACCTCTTTACTCCAGTCACAAATATTTTTTCTAACGCTCTACCTCTATAAAACTCTTTTCAACTGGTCAGATGCATTAAGCAATCTATCAGCTTCTCTTTCCCCTCATGAGACATCCTTTCCTCAGTTTTTCCTTCCCATCTTTCAATTGAGATGGGTTGCTTTTGAAGTCTACTGCACACCTGTCACTTGGGATTTCTTTTCATCATCCTACTGGAGAATTTTATTTTCTCTCTCATCAGTTTTCCTCTTCCTTGGTTCCCATCAATGTCTAGTGGTCCTTTAACTTTGTTCATACTGAAGAGATAGGCTCTGAAAAGCTCATTGGATGCTCTGAATATGTGGCCAGTATTTATAGTGGTGCTTAAGCAGGGACTCATTCCTCTTTGTTCTCACTTATTTTAACTGACTAAGTTGGTTTCTGGAAAGGGAAGATACTTTCCTGGAAAGTGTGCATTGGAAGAGAATTTTTGAAGCCTTGATTTTAATTTAAATATTACTTTCAGAATTTTAAATTTAAATTCACTCTGATTTCTGATCATTTTGCATATAACCTTACCTGAACTCCAGAAACTTTTAGATCTTTTAATTCCCAGTGTTCTGAGATTTTGTAATTATGTGAATTTCTTTTCCCATTTCTTTTTTTTTGTGCTCGGCACTTGATGGGCTTTTATATTGGAGCTCATATATAGGAGCTCTGGAGTGGAGTGATGCTTTAATTTTCTTATTGATTCTTGACTATCTTCTAGCTTTTTACTTTTTTGTTTTACATTTTGGGATATTTCTGTCCAATTCTCAGTTTATCTTTCTACCTTTCTACTTCAGTTATACATTACTCCTTTTATATTGTCAGTCTTCAATTATTTGTTTTTATTCTTTGAATTTCATTTTTAGCAGCATTTTATTATAAAGGATGACATATATCATTTTGTCTCTCAGAAGATATCAACTATGTATTTTTAGAAGGTTTTGAATTTTTCTGAATTGTTTTTGATTTCTTTGATTTCCTCTTTTGTTTGTTTATTTGATGCCTGTCTTTCATGTCACAGACTTTCATCAAATGACTAATGATTCATGAATATTTGCTCACATTAGAAAATAAGGCTCTAAAAGCAAATTGGAAACTCTGGGGCTTGTTGGACTAGTGTGAGACTGAGCAAGGATCTGCTGCTTTCATTAAATAAGCCCCCAAATATTAGCATCTATATGTCTTTTTTGTCCATTTCGTTTATTCAGAGAAAAATCTTCCAATATCTAGTCTGTGGTCAGATGCTTGGATTCCTGGATCATAAGAACATTTTAAGCCTACTCCTACCTCAGGCTTTTGTACTTGCTATTTCCTTTGCCTAGAATGGTCTTCTAGATATCCCATAGGGCTTGTTCTCTCTCTCATGCTACATCTTTACTAGAATTTCATCTTTTCAGCACTACCTTTCTTGGCCACTCACTCTGAAAATTCCCCCAGACCCTGGCACATACACACCCAACTCATTTCCCTGCTTAATATTTCTCCTTAATGTCATCCTACATAGTGTATCTTTTAGCTTCACATAACTGTCTTTTCTATTAGCTGTTTTCCTCTAATAGAATACAAGTTTCATGATGGAAGATATTTTTGTCAGCTTTGTTGGCTGCTGTATCCCCAGAACCTAGAACAGTGCCTGGTACATATAAATGATCAATAAAATTTGCTGATCAAGGATAAAATTAATATACATTAAATCACTACAATATTAAAACTATATGATTGAGGCCATGCATGGTGACTCACACCTGTAATCCCAGCACCTTGAGAGGCCAAGGTAGGTGGATCACTGGAAGTCAGCAATTGGAGACGAGCCTGGCCAACATAGTGAAACCCCGTCTCTACCGAAAAAAATACAAAATTAACCAGTTTGGTGGTACACACCTATAGCCCCAGCTACTTGGGAGGCTGAGGCATGAGAATCACTTGAACCTGAGAGGCAGAGGTTGCAGAGAACCAAGATCACACCACTGCACTCCAGCCTGGACAACAGAGAGGGACTCTATCTCAAAAACAAAACAAAACAAAACACCCTAAAAACAAACAATTTTTTTAAAAGCCTATACTATTGATAATTTTTAAAATCACTTTGAGGCTTAGAAAGTTCTTTTCCACCTCTAATTGTAATCTCTTAATTTTGCTATAGGGTAAAAGAATCTAAGCTTCCTTTTCTCTTTTCTTCCTTTCTTCATTTCTTCCTTGCATTCTTTTTCTTAAACGAATTTTCCCTTTTTTTTTTTTTGTAAAATAATCTCTGTCTTCCCTACAGTGTCTGGGAAGAAATAAAAATGAAATCAACTTTATTTTTAGTGAGTTCATGGTCACTTTTCAGCCTTTAAATATTACTTATGTAGAGTTCCATTCAAAGCTCCGTTTTATGATTCTGTAACAGGTAAAAAATACAGACGTAAAAATGACAAATGTGCATCTTTGTGGTGCTCTACAGTTTTACTATCAGAACTAATTTCTCCCAGTGCATACCATGTAGCTTGAGAATATTAACATCCAACATGTGAAGATTTAAACCATTCAAAAAATATGCTGATTAACTTGTATTTTAGGAAGTTAATTTTGTTGTCCAATTTCTGAGGTAAATATTTATTTTCTCTCAGAAATCCCAAATGTAGTTATAACATTGTAAAGTGCCATGGGACTAATGAAGCAGTATAATTGTAAACATACACTGTGGTTTTAGTAACTCAAATTTGTTGTTTGTTCCTATGCTTTCTTTTTGTTTTTCTCCCCTTAAGGTTCATAACAGCCCTAAATGCCTTGGTTCGGTGTATTCTTGTTATCGGTCAATCAGCTTGTTTTTTTCAAACCAAGAGGAAATTCGAATTTATGGTCATGAAATAAAAAAGAATGGAATCAGGTAGGATATGGGAAACAGTAAAATGTCAATAACACCACAAATTAATAGAAAATCCAAACATCGCATGCTGGAAGTGAACTGTGGAGAGTAGGAAGAGAGAATTTCTCCCTTAGCAATACTCTCTCAAGGTATAACTTACAGACATCAAAACTTTAGTAGGCGCTGAGGCCATCCAGGCAGTCAGGAGTATAACCAGTTTACCCTTCCTGATGCTCGTGTGCAGAATATAAATATAATATGTTTACATGGGTGGAGATGAGAATCTCTGTCTCTCTTTTTTTTTAATGAGAGATTCAAGAAATACCTTAAGAGTTTAATTCTTGATTTTTTTTTTTTTGCCCTCTTTCTTAAATATTTTCTTGTTTCTTTAAAGCAGAAACCTAAAAATTATTTTCTTTTATTTTGGAAAGGATTCTGGAAGTTCTTTCCAAGTTTGTTTGAATGGAGTTTGGGTGTTACTTGAGATTTTTCCATGGAAGTTCTGACTGAGAGTTAACAAATGACTGACCTCAGATAGATCAGAGAGGAGTCCACTTCCGGTTTCCTATCTGCCAAGAATATGACATGAGAATTTTGGAGCAGGGGATGTTTATGTATTTGGCAAATGGGGTGTTTTTTTTTTTTTTAACATTTTAAACTAGAAATACTGTGGAATAATCTGCCTTCCAATCTAAATAATTATAGACAGACTCAATTTTAAATATTTCCAGGCTGGATTATGCCGAATCAAGGAAATTGTGGGCTGAAACAATTCTATTCATCATTCAGAATTCACTAGCAAGTGTTTGAACTGTAGAAATACTTTCCAGCACAATGGTTTTATCAACCCATGTTGCTTTTTCTGGGTTTAGATTCCTCAAAAGGCAGCAGTGGTAGCAGGTGGTAGCAGAAAGGGCAGTGGACACAGCACCGAAGGAGCCTTGAAACAGCCAATCTAGAACAGCTCTTCCCGCTGTCTGAGGCTTATTTTCCAAGAAAATAAGGAGCTTAAATATTTTATGTGACTTCTCATTTTCTCATAAAAGAAAGTTTAGGCAATTGAGTAAGAAGATAATGCATTTCCATGTGTATTGCCTAGAGTTGAATTCAAAGAGTCATTTAGGATTCTCTATATGGAATTTTGGATAATAAAATGGGCATTTAAACAATTATTGTGTTTAGTAAAACAGACTTACCATTCAGATTGATTTTTTCAAGAATATTATTTCTTTATTAAAGCAGAAACATATTTAATTTTAACTCACAAAAGCATTTCTATGAGGATTTCAGATTATGTGATAGAAAAAGGATGGTTTTCTTATTATTCAGCAATATTGCTTTCAAAAATGCTGTTCCTGACTTGGGGCCTAACTCATAGCAAATTGTACAGAAATATTTGCCAAAATAAAATCAAACGTGTGGCTCTGTGTGTAAAGCTTCTCTGGATTTCATTTCTTTCACCTGTGAAAATAAGGGGTATTGATACAAATGAATCCCTGAATACTTTTCAGCATTCAGTTCTACATTCATTTAGGTTTATATTTTAATGTTTCCTGCCTAGGTTTCATGTTTTTCTTTGACCTATTGGATATTGTCTAGTTTAAACTATTATCTCCCAACTCCACTAGCATCCTATGTTATAAACTTCAGGATAATCACAGTTATCCACTTTTATTTTCAAAAACTGATTATTTAATTAAATTTACTATTAAGGAGACCAAATGACCAAACAAAAAGTATGCCTAACAGTACAATTATACTTCCATAAGTTTAGCTATTACTGTGAAATGTATTTGTAAATGTGACTTACTTCTTTCAAATATAGTTTATATAAACTTACAAATTTAAAATAAGTGACATTTCCTTAATGTTATTTCATGTCGACTTTTACCATGAATTCCTCATATTTATAATTTTTAATAAGAATGTATTATTACAGTAGTTAGCTAGAGTCTTTTTTTTATCTATTCTCCAGTTTAAACTTTTAGTTAGTATTCTATTTTTGTAAATAATTTTCTGTGAATAAGTATCTGTAAAAATTTTTTTGTGTGCAAATGGCTATAGATCTTTTTAATTGTTTCTTATGGGATTATCTCTTTGTGAACTAGTCTGTTCAGTTTTGTAGGTTTTGGTTCATCAAGCCATGCTCTTCCTGGAAAGGAACTCACTAATTTGAAAATTTTGAGAGAAATATATGAATATACCTATTAACTACCCATATTATTCACATTATATATAATTACATATAATTTTTATTTGACATGGCTATCTTAATATAAATGAGGTTTTTCCAATTTATTTAATTATCAGCACTTGTTCTTTTTGGCAATACTGATGGATGGAAGGATAACTGTGTTCTTTCAAAAGTGTCCTAGGTGCTTTCAAAATATTCAACTGTTTAGTTCCCTTCAGTCACCTTATGCCACCCACTTCCTTTTTTTTTGAGACAAAGTTTTGCTCTTGTTACCCAGGCTGGAGTGCAATGGCACAATCTCGGCTCACCGCAACCTCCGCCTCCTGGGTTCAGGAAATTCTCCTGCCTCAGCCTCCTGAGTAGCTGGGATTACAGGCACATGCCACCATGCCCAGCTAATGTTTTGTATTTTTTAGTAGAGACAGGGTTTCACCATGTTGACCAGGATGGTCTCGATCTCTTGACCTCGTGATCCACCCGCCTCAGCCTCCCAAAGTGCTGGGATTACAGGCTTGAGCCACCGCGCCTGGCCAACCACCCACTTCCTTTATATGTGCATATGCTTCTGAAAAATGGAAAAATTAGACATTGTATCAGGAGCTTAAATATTTTATGTGACACTTGTTTAGGTGAAATTGTATCCAATTTAAAAATTTTGAGTATTACCCCTATATAATACAGTATGACAAAGTGTATTATATTCCTAATATTGTACTTTGTAGCATTAAAAATCTAAGTTATAATTCATCATCCTTTGATATTTTTTAGAAAACAATGACTTATATCAAAGTATCATTCTAAAGATAGAAACTCCTATTTTCTTATAGCCATGTTTAAAATAAAATTAAGCAAAATCAGAACTCAAGCATCATATTTATATATGTTGACTATTGTTTGTCCTTACTTCAAAATTGTTAAGCAGCATTTCTAGATCACTTTAACTCTTTGGATAATAATAAACATATTTAAGCTCTAACTATTCTAAATAGGCAAGGTTATTTTCCAGGTTTAAGAAATCACCAGTATTTAGCAGCCGTGTGATTTTGGTTGGTTCAAAGAAGCATCTAATTAAAAGTACAAAATCTAAATCTGTATAAGAAAACAGTATCATTTTTGTTGTATTTTATTTCAATACTGAAGTTTTCAAAAATGTTGAGATTTTCCAGAGGATGTTTGCTTTGGACATCTTGCTGCACAGTTTATTCAATAATTTTGAGTGATCATTTTCTTTTAATTATATCTCAGTCACTTAAAAAACATGTTATCTGTAATTGAGCCCTTATCATCATTCTTAGATAGCTTTTATTCTATTTTTCAAGTTTAACCTTGCCTCAGACAATTGGACAGATTTTCATCGAGAAGCTAGCTGACTACATTCTCGTGAAAACAACCTTTGGCTTTTCATTGGCTTGGGATGGGATATCTGGGATCTACCTCAAGCTGTCTGAGGACCATAAGGGGAAATCATGTGGCCTATGTGGAAACTACAATGGCATTCAGTCTGATGATTTCATAATTCTGCAAGGTAAGTGAAGCAGAAGAAATGTGTGTATATTTTCTAAAGTCTTCTTTTTTCCCCTGACCAAGTTGTTTTGTACCCAGAAGACTTGTCATAGATTGGGGGGAAAATTTGTGGCTGTCATTGCCTGCTTTAGTGATTTTAAGTAACAATTGAATAGAAAACATATTTTGGTGTAATTCTTGAAAACCATGAACTAGTTTCCTTTGCTAAATTAGCATGAAGCACGTATAACACATTTGAACAGAGCATTTGTTTTGTGTCAGAAGCTTGGGATACCTCTGTATCCACTGCTTTTGGAGGGATACCTCTGTATTCACTGATGTATTAACTGGAATACACCAGTGAACAAACCTTTCACTTCTTGAAGTTTATAGTCTAGTGATTCAAATCCATTTGGCTCAAATGTGTCTTTGTTAAGACAAAAACTATTTTTGCATCCCTTCTTGATAGGAATAAATTGAATAACTGACAAATAATAGTTTTTCAAAAATAATAAAATGTGAGTGGGAAAGTTGAATAGTAACTTTGAAAGGTTTTATATACCTACCAGATCATCTGTTTAATCTAAGTTATGAAACTAAAACTGAGTTATTAGAAATGGGTTCTGTATCATTTCAGATACTAGTGTGCAATGGCAATAGAATAAGAGAATCAACCGTAATCCTGATTTAGGTCCACACATAGAAGTGCAATAAAAAAAGAATACTGTTCTTAGTACCAGTGAACTTGGCTTTGAATCTCATTTCAACTTTTATAAGTTCTGTAATTGAGAACACTCATTTAACCATTCTTATGCTCCATTTCTTTAGCTGGAAAATAGGACTATAATAATTTGGAACTCACAGAGTAGTCAGTAATAATAATAATATACCTTGCTAATATTTATAGCAATAGTTAGTTTAAGCACATAGCTATATTATGTCCAACCCTCACAACATCCTGTAA